TTCGGTTCTTTTTTATTTTTTTATGCTTTTGTAGCTGGTATTCTCTTGAATCTACGTACATACTGCGTTTTTCTTTCAGTTACTCCTTTTTCGTGTTTAGACATATTTTTTATAATTTTCTGAACTGCCTTCTTTACTTTGAACACAAATTTGGACTCATAAAAGAACACGATGGTGAATACAGTATTTACATTTCATCTGGTTTTGAACTAATTTATCAGTTTTTGAAAAGCAGAATTCTTTGTCTGTTTATAATTTTCGCTTCCACAATTTGTTTCTAGCTGTTAATCCTTTGCAATTTCGTACAAACTGCATTCATTTCTTCAATACTCATTCTACTCCTTTATCCATATTTGGACTTTTTTTGAAAGTTTTTGTACCGCTAACTTTACTTCATATTTGAAGGAGCAATGGAATACGGTAGCATCTTGCTATACAACCCGTATGCATCTCTCACATCGTGTTGACTGAAGTCTACGATAAATTTAGACAAAACGTTGTCCTTTCGGTAGCGCAGATTTTTTTCCCTCACAAACGGGTGCTCATAATTGAAATCGAATCCAAATGGTGGCCGAACAAACCAACCAGGATCTGCGCTTTTTCATTCCTAAAAGATATAAAAAATCTCGCACACGCTAGCCATCTGCACTTTTCGAATCAGAAGCGCTAGCAGTAGCCGTTTTTGGAGTTCCTTTTACGACGATCGGCATAGAGGAGTTCCCACAATGGCCAAATTTTTGAGGAAAAGTAAGTTTTTAGAACTATTACACAAGTTTTAGATTCGAAATCTACATATTTGAACTTCGATCTATAAACACTATCCAAACTTTATCTTGTCTATAGTGTTTGTTCTATATGTTTTAGATGGAATTTTGAAGGGTTTCTGGTTCCTTTAAGAGGAGTTTGAATGGTTGATGCAACTTTTTCTTTCACTGTTCAACCACCAAATCGCCAGGGTTTAGCCTTCATTCTAAATCGTTCAGAATTTCATTCTTTCTTTAAGCAGCAGTCCAATTTAATCCGTTTTGCCACATTTTGAAATCTAGTTTGACGAAACTTTTACTGAAAGCTGCTTATCTTTTGCATGCCACATGTACAGTCCCAGCTGTAGTGCAAATTTTTGTCCTTTGGTCTTGTCCTTCTTTCTTGCCATCTCGTTTTTGTGTGTTTACATCGAGTTCGTAGCAGAATGTACTCTTCTGTATACAGGGGCACATGGGAAGTTTATAGTGAGGAGAAATTACGGTCTTGAACCCTTTGGGGGGGGGGGGTGCAGAGTCGTACGTTGATTAACCATGTGGACGAGTCTGATGCTGAATGAACGAATTTCATAGTGTTCGGTGAAAAGTGCTAATTCTTACGTAATTCTTAAAGTTTGCTCGTCCTCAAATTTTGCGTGTTTCTCACATTTTTTTTGGCTCCTACTTGAAAATTCTTTGAAGTTCCAGCTGAATTGCGGAATTTTCAAGTGCCCACCCGTTAGCACTTTTTTCATTCCCTTCACTGAATCACTTTACGTATCGGTTCCGTCAAAATTCTGATTGATTGTCGTTGTGTAACGAAAAATTCTTGTATGGGACTTTGATAGTGAGCAAGTTATGAATGTGCTCTTTTTTGCGATAGAAATTATGAGAGAGCCTTTGAAGAAGAAAAAAGTGAAACGACCTTGGTAAATCCTTTGATCGAAGAGGTTTTTCTCGAGCAGTAACCGAATGAGAGGTTGATTGCAGGATTGCGAGCGCTTTTTCGCACTTGATTTTTACGCGTCTCGTTCGATGCGGATTCGTGCGGAAGTGCAGAGCAATTCGATTTTCTCGTTGAGGTTCTTTTTTTGCGCCGAAGAAATTGTCATCGGGCAGATGTTCACGAGTTTTATGTGACATTCTAGACTTAGGTTTTTTGAAGGTCGCGCTTTTTTTAGTAGGAGCGCTAGGTATGTCGAAAATTTGGTTTATTGAGAGGAGGAGTGGAGGAAGAAGAATAAAATGCTTGCATTTGCTGGCATGACCTTGTCGCGATTCAATGCAAAACATCGGTTTTATCTCTGTAGATAATCTTACAATAACTGTAACGAGTTTTCTACATTTTTGAAGGTCTTATGCGCTACTAATGGTTTCTTAAATTTATATAAACAGTTTAATCTAGCTAAATCGATCAAATATCTGAGAAAGTTTTTATGTGGGCGAGCTTTATAGAAAGAAGCTTGTCCAAGTTCAAGAAAATCTGATTTCTTTTTTCCTGCGTTACAAGAATCAAGGAGAATTTTTGTTCAAAAGTTCAGAATCTTACTTGTGAAGACAAGCTTCTTATCTTCAGTTTGCAATCATTCTCTTACAATGGTCTGAGACTTTTTCCTTGAAGTCTTTGATAGAGAATTTCCGACGATATTATTAGGCGTTCAGATACATTTTATTTGTACATGTTAGATTGCAAAACCTGTTTCAAATGAAAATTTCAAATGAAACTGAATCGTTGCAAAATGTTATAGCCCAATTTCACAAATGATCGAATAATTGCGTGACTACTGATGATGCCAAAAAATCGTGAAACGCTTATGGGGTCCTTTGAATTTCGAGCAAGAGCGTTTTACCTTTCAGTCTGATATTTATCACTTTTCCTCGATCATATATATTATCCTTGTTGCCGTCATCCCAGTCAGGTTTCTGAACCACTTTATTCTTGGAAACTTTTGCTCATAAAATTCACTTTTGAAGAACAACACGTTATCGGGTATCCGAACGTTATCTCGTACAGCGTTGTAAAATCCTTGAAGATGTTCCTTCTCAAATTTCATGGAAGCGGAAATTCAGCTCTCTGCTCCTACTACTTGAATTTCGGGCGTAGTAGGTATGCATTGCTGGATATGAATAGTAGCGCATTTTTTCAAAGCCGTATAGCTTTTATTTTCCCACAGAGCGCATTATTTTTAGCAGCACGCACACGTGCGAATAACTGACAATAATTGATGTGTAAGTCGTATAGGTTGCAAAGGCAGTGAGACGAGTCGTGGCGGCTGCCTCGACCCGAACAACACATACTCCAATGACTGATTGGCTTCTTCGCTTAATGACGGACATTAGCGCGTGCACGCGCGGAAATGCGTTGCCGCGCGTTGATGACCAACAGCACCGGGCAGGCGGCTGTTCGTTCGCTTGCCGAGACTTGCATTTTGGTCGAGAATAGCCATCCGCTGCTGCCCAGCGGTTCGGCCATTGCGTGTAATATCCTTGAGGGGTCAGGTGTGCAGCCGAGGGATCGATTTCATCAGGAGAGAGGGAGTAGGAGAGGGGGGGGGGCTGCTGCTGTTGTTGGGCTGGCTGAACCAGTGGGGGATATGTTCGAGTGGTGGTGGATCTGGTTACATAAGGAACAGACACCGTGGCGTGAGAGTCCTGAAGTGTGGGAGCAGACAGGATTTGGGAGTTTTACGATCTTTGGGAAAATGTGGGGTATTCCAGGATATTGCGTTATGCTCTAAATCAGCTAATTTTGTTAATCACCCTCATCCTTTCACTTTCTTGTTGAAGCTAGGTACTTTCAGCCTTCAGTAAAATCAGATTAGATAAAGGTTTCAAGTTTTAGCCAAGTTTTCTCCTTGATTTGCCTAACGGATTTTTCAATCGGGGAGAAAATTTCGCTGACACCGTCTTTATCTGATTTGATTTTACCAAAGCCTAAGAGTACGTAGCTTCACCAACGAGAAGTGGATTGATGGGAAAGGGTGATTTACAGACTTGCTTATCCAGTGCAATTTGCGCTTTGCACTTCTGCAAAATTCTGCATTCCCCAACTAAAAGTGCAAGCGTTTTTGAGCAAATTGAGGCTATGGATGTTATAACTGTGGAATGTTTTAATTTACTTTTGCATTTTCATTTCATTATCAAACAGTAGGAGGAGGTTTTTCATTGTGCAAATAGAAAGTACGAGGTTTTTTGGGTACTGCTATAGATGACCGTTTTTGCTACAGCTATCTTCATCTAAAATTGTTTGTGATGGTTTTTAGAACATGTTGCTTTGAGGGAATTTCTGCGTTTATTTAGTACCTTATACTTTGGATTCTAGAGTGCTAAATATGCTGATCAGATCAATCTAGTCCATTTCTACTTTTGCTGCAAAGATATCATTAATGATTTGCTGAATTTGATCGTTAATAATACGAGAAAATTTTGTCGCAATCTCGTGATTTGGAACGAGCAAAATGAATAAATCAAATAGTGAAAAATGTAAAAAAGAAAACACTTGCTCGCAAATTTCCACAGACATGTGACAAAGCAAAATTATCTGTCAATCAGCCCAGTAGTATTTATTTCACGTGATTTATAACTGTGATAGGCAATCACTTCCAGGAATCAACTTTGTATTTTTTCCAGAATAATTTTTTTTCGCTTTTTCGTTTCTTAACCATCGTTCATGTTTGTCAGCTAGGTGTGAAACGAAGCTTATTTTGTTCTGTGACCGTTCTACCTTGGCAAACTTTCCCCCTTCTTTTTCTACCCACTTTTTTGCATGAACCGTCTCAGCGCAGTTTTTGTCGCGTTTGCTGTCAAAAGATTAGTTTTTGCAGCGATTATAGTACAAACCGTACAGAGCACTTTTTTTTCGACTAATGAGACGTTGGAGATCTTATCTCATAAACTGAGTACACGAGTTTGTAGAAAAGATTGAAAAGGATGATGGAATTTGTATAAAAAGAGGTTTAGGAAATCAAAAGAGGAATCAGGAAAGCGGCAGAAGAAAAAGTTCTCTTATCCGGTAAGGGGATTGTGACGGGATGTGCGGGGGGGGGGGGGGTATGGTGAACAGATAAAGCTGTTGATTCGAGAGCTATGGCCCTATCTATCACAAAGTGAGTCGAAAACTAGTAATATTGCTACAATCACCTAAACTTACTTTTTTTTCAACCATCGGCCAAAAATTTGCAAGGTGAAGGAGAAAATGTTTTTGTTGCTACATATTACACTAAATGCAACCTAATGATTGAAAAAAAATTTTTCTTTTAGAAATTCGAGCTCAGCTAAACGAACAGATTCGATGTATAGGCGAAAGGACAGAGACACAAATCGCCGTCTTGCAGGTGAGGATAGTGTTTTTTTGTGAACTACTTTGGTTTCTTCTGTACTTTTTATTCTTCTCATAACAATCTTTCTCAAGCAAAAAAGACTGTCAAACTTTCGATCTCCTTCTCACAACTTCCGTAGAGTATTTATGATCATATGTCATTCTTCATAGTCTTTTTCATCTGTTCTTGTCGATTTTTGGGAGAGTCGTTTATATTATATTAGGTTGTCCCGCAAGTCTTTTCATTTTTGAATTTTCGCTACAGTAAGTCATGCATTTCTTACCTAATTAGAAACAGGATACCATTTGATAGAGCAAAACAAGCTCAATAAGTGATTGTTATGCTGTTGCACCAGCTTTGGTCTACCTCACTTTTGAAACCAAAATCTAAAAAGTTCCTGATGCTCAGAAAATTGGAAATTTTTTATATCTTCGTCCAAATAACCCTACATATCTCTCACTCCTTCACGAATATACACTTAACATCAGACATATGTGCTGTTGCTGTATTTTTTTTATTAGCTAGAAATGGGTGGGGGGACGAAAGCCGCCAGTTTGAGCCGCCTCCGCGGACTGCTGGTCCTGGAACGACATGCAACAACGCTGCGAAAGGACCAGCTGGCCGCGAAAGGCGGCTGAACCTGGCGGCTTTGTCCCCCCACCCGCTAGAAATCAAGAAAACAAAATTTCCACGTTTTTATCGAAGCCATGCTGAGTTGTTTTCACAATGACAGTTGTATGCTACAAGCCCTGAGAAGTACAGCTGTAAGTTTTCAGCGCTCTATAAGCTCTACTTTCCGAGAAATATCAGATTTAGCTTTCCTCACTCTGGTTTTTCACGCTCAAGTCAACATTTTTCGGGAGCTAGGGCTTATGGAGAGCTAAAAATCCACGGTTGTACTTTTAAGGGCTTGTAGTATATAATGGTTGGTGTAAGAGCAGCAAAGCATCACTTTGACATAAATATAAAAATATTTTTTTCTTGATTTCTACCTAATAAAAAAAATGCGGCAATGGCACTTATGAGTGCCTGAAGTTGAGTGTATACGCGTGAGCGAGCGAGAGATCTGTAGGGTTTTTTGGGCGAAGATATAAAAATTTTCATTTTTCTGGGCATTCGGAACTTTCTAGAATTTGGTTTTAAACCTGAGGTAGACCAAAGCGGGTGCTACAGCGTAACAATCACTTATAGAGCTTGCTTTGCTCTATCAAATGGTATCCTGATGTCTATTTAGAATAAGAAATGTATGCTTATCATAGCGAAAAGTCAAAAATGAAAAGACTTATGGGACAACCTAAGACCATTTCCTCTATATTTATAAGTTTTGTGAACTACATGTACCAGTAGCATAATCAAGAACTAGTGGTGAAGGTACTTTACTGGATAGTTTGATGTTACGTAACTGTTCAAGAGATGAAGTTTATAGTGCACCAGCGGCATTTCTGTTCCAAAGTATTGTATCGCTGTTCTAACTTTGCAAGAGCGTTTTCTTATGTACTTTTAGGAAGTCGACGATTTCTTTCGCAAACGCGGCGAAGCCGAAGCCGAGTATTCACGTCAGTTGGAAAAGCTAGCTAAAGGCATTATGCAACGTCATAAAGCTGAGAAGAACAGGTTTGTCAATGGAGGGACAATGTGCGCGCCCTCGCTCTCTTTTCTTGTGTTTTTTGTAAAGATCCAGCTTGCAAGGAACATCTGTGTTCATAAAGGCATGATTATGTGTGTGTCCCATGAGGGCAAGAAAGTTTTTGAATCTAGATCATATATGGATGTGTTGAGGTTTAAAATGCCTTCTAGGCACTAAAGGTCTCAGATGTTTTTTTCGGAATCCGGATGGCGACGGAACGGTTCTTTAAAAGTTCTCAATTTTTAGTCCTAGATCTCTGCAAAGCTATTGATCTGAAATTACTTGTTGGAAATAGAAACAACTTGTTTGCTAAGTTTAAAACAAAAATGCTACATTTTTTGAGTGTGAGGGTGATCACTGCTACTGGTATCGTTTGTGATTCAAATTATCCCCAATTTTTTTCAGCCCCGTGAAATTCTCAAACTGTTTATAATATCACTTGTCCAAAAAAATGATGCAATATTTCCAAGGGTACTTTCTAAGAATAATCCCTGCCAGAAACTTTGATCTCTGGAAAATCTTCTCTGTGTTAATCGTCCAAATAGTCGTTTTTCTTGTACATCCAGAGTGACAGCGTTTCGGTATGAGAAAATAGGTCCAAAAGCCAATTACTACTTTTTTTCAAGTTTTCAGAAATGAAGGTAGGATGTGGGGCAGACGGATTTTTTATTGGCGCTTTTAGAAGCGCTAGGTAGTTCTGAAAGTCTTATGTCATTGTCGCGGCGATGAGCAGTGGGTTTCAGATTGCGAGTGATTTATGGTAGCTGCGCTTACGTCCATTGCAAAGTCAGTCTGAAGCAAGGAAGCTTTCGGGAAAATAGGGGGGGGGGGAAAGAGAGTATCTTATGACGGAATTTCGTGTTTAAAAGGTAATAGATTCAGAGATTGTAGATCATGAGATGTAGTAGATTCATCTAAATCGCAAGATCTTAAATATGTTTGAATCGTAGATATTCTCAGATTATATTGGGGTTATACAATTTCGATCTCAATTGTCATATCTCGACTAGGCTCAAAATGATGCGAGCGAATCATATACCTAATTTGAGTAAAAAAAAATACTTGTCAAATCTCCAAATCTGCAAGCTTTAAATAAGCTGTAATCAATAGTCCTAGCAAGAACTTCAAAATCAAAGTTGATCACAATCTGTGGCGTATTTAGAAGCTTAGTCTAAATGCTGTATAGATTTTTCTTCCGGGTACGAGCTAATTCAAAAACGTGAAGTTTCGCGGCATTTTTCGCCACATTTTGAGGTCTCTGCTATGACTGAAAAATCTTACGTTTGATTGACACTTTCCTAAATCTTGCAAATCGAGTGAACATCTTTTTTCTCTCAAATTAGGACCTTGACGATTTTAGAACGACAGGTGTCAACTTCTATAAATAATAAATCATAGTCATGTTTGAGACGGGTTCTGGAGATTTTCTTTCTCTAGAATATGATGAGTGCAAAGGGTTTTAAAAGCACATGTCAAGTGCATTAGGGATTTAGCATCCTGAAACCCGGTACATTTTTCTCCTTTGCACTTTGATTCTGTTCTTTCCACATAACCATGAAATCACGTACGGCTCGTTTGTTATGAAATGGGTGTAAGAACGTTGACAGTGATTGAACAGGCAATCATCTTCATATGTGGAACCATCAATTTTTTCGGACGGTAGTAGAATAGACAATCTGTGTGTGCAGTTTGAATATGAGATGAGTCGAATTTCGCTTGCACACTAGCAGTCAGCAAAAGTGCAACGGCAGAAAAAACGGTTGTGTGGGCGTTTTGAGATTTATGACGATGAAGTGAAGGTCATTTGCAATTTGGTGGTGTAACGTGGAGCTGCTAAAAGGGGTGCTGTTATCTGGTGGAAAGGGATTTGATATACAGACAAGCTATTGTAAAATATGATAAAACCCGATATCAAAGGCTATGCAGGCAAATGTAAGTATCTGAATCTATGGAAACGTGAGGGGTCCCAGCAAAGTCATAGCCCAAGTGGCAGCACATATTATCCACACGTGTCCGAAAAATTCAACTTGGAACTCCCTCCCATACCGTACTTCTTTCGGGCAGTTAGTGGCCGAGTACGGTATTGGGTGAGAGATGAGTTACGTCTCTCTCGAATCAAAGCTTTAAAGTTAGTTGACTCTCTTCAATAAGTTTCCTGGTAAGAACCCAATATATTCACTTGTACACTGCTTTTGTGCTTCTGTTTCATGCAAGAATTACCGAATTTGATATGAGCGCGACGCAAAAAATTGTTATTCACCGTCGCATCGTTCTTGTTCAAGCTTCATATTTTCCAAAAGTAATTTTTGCTGGGCATGACGAATCTATTGATAAGTCCCACCGGTTCTGCTGCTAGGAAAGCTAGCAGTCCATATGTTGCGGTGGGGAGCGTGTCCTACCATATACCTACCGTAATCTGATGGCAGTAGCTGGCCGAATATGGAGGCGGGAAGGGAGGAGGGGCTGTTTTCTTATATGAGGTACAGAATTGTGTTTACTGTAAATTATCAGGGTATTTTTGTATTGAACACCCCCCCCCCCCTCCCAGAAAAATCCAAGTAGTACCACTGCCTGATAGTAAGTATCAGCTGATAGTCAGTCATGATATTAATGTAGGATATTTAGAGATTTGTTGTCGTTAGCTGAGTATTGGAAATAAAAATATCTCTTCTCGAAGAATTCACAAGAAACGGTCTAAAGTGCTGTCTTTTTTCTTATTGCGGAAAATTGGAGCAATGTAATTTAGAATTTACTGTATTCATTTTGAGAATTCGAATTTCCCACGTAGTTGGAAACAGTTTTAATATCGGGTACGCGCATGTTGTGATTTCACCTTGTCAAAAGTGGGCGAGTTGGCGGAGGAGAGGGGGGAAATGTCCAGGCTTGAACCGTTGACATAAGTGCAAAACATTGGAATGTGCCCATGGTGCAATCGCTAGCAATAAATTCCCTGTGCAGATGTTAAATTGGTCATAGAGCATGGATCTGCACTCTCAAAATAAGCTGAACTTGCAGCAAGTTCAAGCACTCTTCCGGAATTTATGTGCAATTGCACTATGCAGCGTATTTTGTGCGATTGCATCTAAAAGCTGGAGTTTGTCTTGGACTCACACTATTAAGTCAGGGCTTTTTCTACCAAAAATTTATGAATCGTAGGTTTATAGAAAGATTGCAGAGGTCTGAATGACCTTGCCTACGCATCAGTCTGAGTCGTATGCGGTGTAGTGATTGTGTTTTGATGTATACTGCACACATCAGTATGCCATAAACATGGATTAGTGGATTTGTTCGCAGCGTTTCCGCCGACGAAATGGCGGTAAGCCCCCGCTTGCCGCAGATGCAAGTGTCGGGTCGTAAATGTGAGCAAGCGAACTGAGGGTGTTATCGATAGACAGGAGGGGGAAGGGGAAGGTTTGAAAAGAAGATCGAGGAAGCAACTGAATTTGGGCTTTTGGGCAAAATTTTTGAAGAAAAACGAGGAAATAAGAACAAATAATTGAGAAAGGACTTCTACACGTTCAAAGGCGGTGCTGGGGTGAATGGTGGTTGGTGCTTAGATTTCGTGTGGAGACTAAAAGGCAGCTTCTGCTGACCTGTTGCTTGAGAGACAGCTCATATTGTTCGTTTGTGAGCGAAAACAATCGACTATAAAATCCAGCCCAGAGCGTACTATTTAGCTTTTGACTACGGTACTGGGCGAGACCTTAGGGTCGAATTTCTGGGCGCTGGATAAACTATATGAGCTGGCGTTTGAGCAGTAGATTGGTTAAGTGTTCCCACTCGGTGTCCACACAACAAGTTTCGAAAGTGAGATTCTGAACATTGTCTTGACGAATTTTCAAAGCACATCCTTCTGTTGTTGAATTCTCAAGCCTGACTTCGATGCAGTCAAATCCATGCATACATTTGATTTGCGCGAACACCGTGCCAGACAGCCAATGCCCTTTTCCGTCATTCATCCTCCATGCACGTCGTTGTAGGCCGCCCTGTAATTAACTTAGGTGGGGGATAGGCGCATTCGCACGAAACAGATTGTCATCTTAATAGGCATAGTACCGCACATATGGTTTTTAGTGGATCGATAAATTCCTTGCGAATGAGAGGAGACATGTGTTCGTAACTTTGAAGGGCAGTTGTGCAAAGTTTACTTTAGCAGATGCATTGCTCATCGAAGTGCGATAGAAGTACGCAAACCGGAAGTATCAGTTGATAAACAGTTGACGGGAGCTAAATGTGAATGAAGAAGTGCATGATACGGGCAGTTTATTCGAATGTTATTGCTATAGGTTAATGGACTTTGTTTATAATGTCCATTAGCTCAGGGATGGGAAAACTTTGCAATGCTGGAATGCTTGGATGGAATGACTCTATTTTGGATGAAAAATTAGTGGAGATTTGGGAGCCAGCGATGTGGGTATAATGCCCTTATTTATGAACAGAATCGTTAGGGTGAATTATGGGCTTTTCGAGCCCCAAATGGAAAAAAGAATGCTGTCCAATGTGGTGTTCTCCTTCGAAGGGGAGGCGAGATTTTATTGGAATCGATGATTTCAACTTCCTGATTTGAGCATAGATGACGCCGACTGCTCCATAAGGCAGTGGATGAAGAGTCGAAAATTTGTTGGGTAAATAATGTTTGCTCGTAAAATTCATGAAATTCCGTACTTTTCATATCTTTTTTCATAAGTCGTGACTTTCTTCTGCCTCGTGGTGCTGCTTAGGGCCAAATCTTTCAAAACTTTCGTATTATGAGGCACGTGGAACCTGACCAGGTTTTATCGTCGGTAGTGTTGGAGGTCACTTGTCAGCTGATTTGCAAGGCGACGAGATTGTGACCGTGATGAATCAAGCGGTAAAGTCTATAGGGCACAAGACTGACTATTTGTTAGATAACAGTCTTGCTCAAAGCGTCTCACTGAAGATTTTTTTCATTTTTTGTTATCAATTTTGAAAATTTCAGACGTGACAGTTGGACCCAACATGCCGCTTGCTCTGCTTGGCAACAACTTGTTGATGATACGAAAGGCGAGGCTCAGCAAAGACAGGCATGTTTTGAGAAACAATTGGGTTTTTATTCTTCTTCTTGATTTCACGCTTTACATTTTTAGATTCTTGCCGAATTGTACACTAAACATATCACTGCAAGCATCAGTTCAAGATGCGAAGATCTAGGAAAGATCAGCAAGAGGGTGGGTTTTTCTTTTCAGTAACAATATTATTTGCAATTTATTTGTTTTAATTTCTTATTCTATTCATTGAAGATAAATCCTCTGTTTTGATCACAAAAACATTCATTTGGTAAAGTTGTTTTTTAGTGCCGCGAAATCGGTGCACTTTCTCATAGTGAAATCAATCGGGTATTGACGGAATTACATACTGCTATGAAGACATATCAGGTAAGAGGATTGCACCCTCTTTTTATGATTTTATTTTATGCTACGTTGCCTTCGTTTTTTGGTCCGAAAATTTTTTACATTTATTTTTTCTTCTGATTTTTTTTTGTGTTTTCTAGTGTTAGTATTGTAGCTTTGTTATTCGGAGTTGGCTGCAGTGGAAAGGAAGCTAAGAATAGCCGAGGAAGAAAAACGACGGTACGAAGAAGCAAATCCAGGAAAAGCTGAGGGAACGCGCAAATATCGTAATCTCTGCAAGTATTTGAAAAAGGTCAGATTTACTCTATTTTAGCTTAGTTTTCTTAGCGCACTTTTTATGGCGTTTTTTCTCATTACGGTATCTCTTTGTACAGTCTACAAGTTTAGAGAGAAGACAAATACGAAGCAGTTCATTCAAAATGCACAAAAGGACGAAACGAGTATCTCATGTGTATTCGAGCTGCAAATGCCGCGTTACATAGGTATTTTGTAAATTTGCCCTATATTTTTTACAGGTGTTTGAAGGTTTTTTGATTTCTCATCCTCTGTTTTTCATTATTGAACAGTGCTGTAGCGATGTTTGCATTTTTTTCCGTCTGCTTGATTGCTTTATTTTTTTCCAGATTCTTCGCAGAAGATCTCAGTTATCTTATCGACTGCACGGATCTTGGCATGGATTATTGGACCAGAGCACTCCTAGGTAAGAAACAACTTCTATTTTATTTTTCAATCACCCCTATTCACCTTTTATGCTTTCTTCAACCTCTTTTTGCAGCATTTTTTTGGCAGCAATTGGAGCTCATAGGAGTTTCATGCTTTATTTAGCGCTAAAGTGCAAGCTATTATGAACACTTTTGCGTAAAATCTTCTGCCGGAATAGCTATGTTCAGTTCATTTCCTTTGCGCTACAATCGCAGAAAATCGAAAGGACAAGTCTATTACTGCGCGACCGGATATCTGCATAGAAAATTACCTTCCTCGCTTCTTCTTTTTTGTGTTATATAAAGGGTGCAGATTCATTAGCATCTGCACTTTTATGCTTCACTTGCACTTCTGCACACGAAAACTGCGATAATATCCATCTTATAGGCCAAGTTGTTGAAGTTCGTAAACGTCTTGCACAAAGGGAGATGGATAACTTGGCCGAACTCGGCACATTAAGATCGGCGATTGACGCAAAGGCAGACAAACAACGATTTTTCGAGGCTCATCATGCTACTTTCATGTTGCCGAAACAGTTCGAATTCAGGTAATCGAAGCTCTAATTGCCGTCGATTTCAGTTTATTGTGCTGATTGATGCATGGTGCATGAGAGCCGGCTGTAATTGCGGAGCGGTGTTTTACATTGAATTTATAGACCTCAGTTGGGCGACTGCGTTTGCACTGTATCCGCAGAAAAAGGGATCGCCGCGGAATTAGTGCAACGACAGAAGCAGATTGAGAAACGACTGGAGGGACTGAGATTTGAAAGCGACGAGGTGAGAATTTTTTCTTTTTTAAACGAGGTGATGATAAGATTGCTAAAATCGTATTTGGGGAAAGCTGAAGGGATTGTCGTTTTGACATTGTGGCGAACATTATTCCCTGATTGTAGAATCTTTTACAAAAGGATAAAGGAAATTTTGTGCTTATATAGAGATTGACTTTGTCGGCGCCGCCGCAGTTGTCGCATCTTATTCATTGTTGCGCCAAGGAACAGCAATGCAAACTGTACAGTCTTTTTCAACCCGGAATAGGCGAAACATTCCAAGTGGAGCAGCACGTCTGCACCGTCACTGGCTCAGTGAGATGGATTGAATGAAGAGACGCAGACTGCAAAGCGGCGCGAATCGTTGCGAAGCGGTTCGCGCCAGTCCGATTTCCACCTAAACTGAGTTGAAACTTACTATAGCTGTGAAATGGTTCGACTTGCCGCTTATTGCTTTCCGCTTATCCAATCTAGGACAAATAGTGTAGAACTAAGCATGCTCAAACTTCTCATAATAGGATTTGCAGAAAGTTAATAAAGACTTTCACTAGTTCAACATTCTCGCGTGGAGAAAGCTCTGCTATCTGGCTTATGCTAATTTTCGCTTTTTTGACACTTCTAAAAAAGTTCTGACCTCTTCCCGTGATAATCTCTTCATATGACCTTGTCCCAGTTATCTGCAACTAATCGCTGTTAATGCCGGCTATTCAAGTTCAAAATGAGGGCGTTTGTCCAAATAATGGGATAGTGTTGATGTAGGGAGATAATCATTTCTGATGCGCAATTGCACAGATATTCAGTGACTCGTCATGAGTTTGCATTATTCTGCAGAGGGAACTTTCTTTTATCCTAGACTTTGGAATCGCGTTGCGATTTTGTCCGTAAAGTATAGTATATGGAGATGATCCGGCATTTATTAATATAAAAAAATACTGTGAGGATTACGGTAGGCGTAGCATTTGTAGTCACGAGCAGGATCCGCTTGGAGTTCGTAGGAGTCAGAGGAAATTTTCCGTCCCTTGCACACGTACATGCCTTATTAGAGGAAGCATTTGGAACACTTTAGGGATTGATAACAGCTATTTGCTGTTCGAAAAGTCTTTAATTCTTTCAGAAAAACAGCTTAAGTGTAGCTGTACTTCATGAAAATCGAATGAGAAGCACCAAATTTAGGTATGGAAGAGCTTGGAAGCCTCCGATCGTCAACTTCTCCAAATGTATAATAATGACTTCAAAGAGAAGGAAGAACCCAATAAATGGCGGCAAGACGTTTTGGTTACTTACCAATACTATCTTAAGGTTGGTTGTTTACAGCACTGATTGCAAAATTTACCTCGAGAAATCTGTTTGCAGAAATTCGAGTATTTCTTATTGAATGGTAATCTCATTGAACGACTCGAGGCTAGGAGTAAAGCCATTTCCGAAGCATTGTCAAGAGCATCCGGGATGAACTCCAGTAACAGTATGACACTGGGATCAGAGGAGAGAACTCGACGACGGCCGAAAAGAATTGGCGCGGCCGGCATGAATGAGATGAAACCGAGGCCGAAATTGTTCGGTAGGCTTTCTTTTTTGAATATTTACCTTTTAGTTTTACTAGTTTCGTTTGTCGGTTTAGGTGGAAGCCTAGATGAATACGTTGAGGCAACGGGTGAAGCGATTCCACTGGTGGTGGTATCAGCCATCGGCTATCTGTCGAGGTACTCGCTTCGGAATCAAGGCTTATTCCGAGTCAGTGGCTCGCAGTCCGAGATTAACAGATTCAAAGAAGCATATGAGAGAGGTAAGATATGTTACAGAACATTTTTTTACTCTCGATTCTTTGTTTGGCATCAGTTTGTGATTTTTTCGATATTTTTTGGTTTGCCAGTTTTTTGCGTCAATTCAAATTTTATTTTATCGTTTTCTAATGGTTTTTGGAATAGTTGCCCATTGTCGGTTTAGGCGATGATGCATTCGCTGACCTAACAGATGGTAGTGAATCGAACTCAGTAGCAGGAGTTCTAAAGCTATATCTGAGGGAACTGCGGGAGCCTCTGTTTCCCATTTTCCTCTTTGATCAGTTCACCGACTGCGCTAAAGCCGATTCTTCACAAGAATTTGTGAGGAAGGTAAGAGGATTGTACAGTACATTTATGAGTTTTTCATTCGTCTTCAACTCATTCAGTATCCGATTGTTTTTTTAGGCGCGAGAACTGATTGAGAAGCTGCCAGTGTCGCACATTTTGTTGCTCCGTTTCCTGTTTGCTTTCCTATCGCACCTCTGTGAATTTGCTGATGAGAACATGATGGAACCTCATAATATGGCAATATGCTTTGGACCTACTTTGCTACCTATTCCAGAGGGTAAAGATCAAGTGCGTATCTAGCCACTCTATAATTTCCGGTTATTTTTTTTTGCACATTGGTGTGAACAGCACATAATATTTTTTTCATAGGTATTCTATCACAATTTTGTGAACGAGCTGGTGCGCAACTTGATACTCAACGTGAATGAGGTATTCCCACAAGATCTACCCGGGCCAGCATACGATAAATATGCAGCGATCGCAGACGAGGCAGATCACATGGGGTATATGGATGATGTGTAAGTTTTGGTGTTTTTATCGACAATTTCATATTTTTACTATATACAGTATGCTGATTTTTGTCTTGTACTAAAAAAAGTTTTTTGTCGTTTTTTTTGGCCCAGCGGGGATTTCCTTACTACTTTTTTTGTTTGATTCTTTTTCATATCTGTGGAGCATTTTTCATATTTTATGGCGCATGATTTAGTGATGGCTTGTCTGAAGATGAAGACTGTTTACGGAATGGTATCGGTGGCGGTATGTCAGCCGATTCTGCCCTCGCCGAGTCTACCTACGACATGTCAACGTCTACAAACATCGTCAGGGATGTGACATCTTCAACGCTTCAAAGACCACCAACTCCTGAAGAACCGCTTAGTCAACCACCCAGCGTTTCATCGAGGTAAATAGCTCACTGCATGGAATTTCCGTTTGGAGTTTTCCTGCTTTCAAGAAATTAGTGTTTGGTTTGTCCCTCTATGGAGCGGCAATCTATTGTAGTTTGTTCGAACCTTATTCCTTATATTTGTAATCTGCCCAGTTTATCGCAATTTCCATCACAATTCAGGTCGTCAAATCGATCAAACATCAATCTGGAAGCGTATCTGAGGAGAATGTCCGAAGATGTTTCACCAGCGCTGAGAACTGAGATGCCACATCTGATAGCGAATGAAGCGGCGGCGAAGTTTGCGGCTAGAGAACGAGCAGCAACAGCGCCAAAGTCGAGTCCAAGGTGAGCGTCGTCAACTCATGAAATTTCAGAACGTCTAGGACCTATTGAGGTTCTCCTTTGTATTATTTTTTTTTACAATTTCCTTTTGTTTTTCCCACAAAATTTTTAGACAACTTTTTTGTCTGATCTTTCCTCAAAACATTTTTGCTGTTGTTGTCTACAGTCATGTGGAAGCCATGTGTGAAGTCTGGTATAAGTAGTCACCAACTGACTGTTCTATTAGTTTTTGCATCCTTAGTTGTGCGAGACCTCGAGCAAGGCTTTCGAAATTCGAGAATACATTTTTCATAGGATTTCGCGAGTACTCTCCCATTATGATTTATCTCAGCAGTACACTTATCATCTAGGCAAACCCCATTATGGGAGCAAGAACGCCCATCTTCGCATTCATCACACACATCAACTGCCCCATCGTATGCCTCGTATTCATCTCAACAGTCCACATCTAGTGCTCAATCGCAATCTGTGAATACATCGACAACTACGGTCCACGGCAGTAACAATACCGTAGCACCGACAAGCACTGCTCACGGAAGTAGCAATACCATAGCACCTATCACTACTGTACGACTGCCAACAATGATTTCATTACGGGATCAGCTTCATCATTTTCGGAAGGAGTTAAATAACGCGAGAGAAGATTCATCTAGAGTTTACCCAATGTAAGTTTTTGATTGTCACCTTTTTGATGATAGATTCGCGCAGAGGTTGTTTTTGAGATCGGAAGGATTGTCGGGATTTCCAAGGCGGGTGGCACAAAATGACGGGTCAATGTTGGATGCTCGAGGTGGTAGTGAGGCGCCAAGGTGAGTACAGAATCTGAAGTCCAGCGTTCACATGTTGTTATTATTTACTGTTTAGACTGACGGACAGGTGCTTCGGCGAGGTACGTTCGGCAGCGGGAGATCGAGGAAGTGAACCAGCTCTCATGAAGTAGGTTGGAGCACAACTTTCCGGAATTCCTTTAAGTTTTCACCGCTTCGTGATTTCACTCAAAGGCACCGTCCATCCATATTGAGATTGTTGGGATTTTGATGTTGTATAATAACAGGACCCCTAACTAAGCATTCGCTCAAGTATCGCTGCAAAAGATGGACTCCGAAGCGAGAAAACCGCTTCAGAAGGTAGAAACAGCTCAGGCGGCTCCGCCCATTGACGTGAGTGGCCTGAAGAGCAAGTCAGATTTGACTCAAATGTATCCAAAATCGTCCTAAATCGCCCTGTATTACGATTATCAGATTTCGGGCTTTTCCATCTACCCTGAAACCCAAGTTTAGAGTTGTTGTCTTAAGACCACCCACGTTGATGGGCGGAGTCAACTGAGTCACTTCTACTATCAGGAGCGATTTCCTCGCTTCGGTTTTCCTCTTCTACAGCGGGAATTGGGTGATTGCTTAGTCAGGGGGCCCTTCTATTATATAACATCAAATCTCATCAACCTCAGTATGGGTGAACAGTGCCTTTGAGTATGCAGCCTACACTCTTACATGGCTTTAGCTATTTTTGAGTTTGTTCCATATTTACATGGGTAAGGGTGCGGCTATCAATGCTTGTTTTTGGTTGATTTTATTCCACCCTCAAACGCAGTATTTAGTTGGGTGGGCGAAGCCAACCAATAACAAGCTGCGGCCGCGCCCCTTCCCGCGACGTTTGCGGATCTGTCAGGTGAAACAGCTAGACACACTCATCCTTAAAAGTTTCATTCTCGTTTCAGAGACGATCAACCAGACGTTGTAGCATCGGCACGACATTCGGTACGAGCACAAAGTGAACTGCATAAAATACGTGAACGCGAAAACTCGTCCCCACCACTCGAAGAACTGGCAGCGGCGGCGTTGAAAGCGTCTCAGTTCGATTAGCTGTTCACAATCTTGTGCATTGCATAATCTTGCAAAAAAGTAATCTTGCAAAGTATAGATAGTTTTTAGTAGCTTCATCAGTCTCCGATCAATAGCAATCAATAATAAGTATTAGAGCTGTGAAAGTATTGAGATTATACACATTACAGTTCATCTTGTGTTCATAATGTAAATTATTCACGTAGAATGCGCCAACCTAGTCCGTCTCTTCTTTGCACCAAACCTCATATGGGGTTAGGTTACTTATGTTAGCTGCCGATTTCTTCTCTTATTCGATCATATGTAACGTAGTTCGCAGAAAATCTTCAGACATTGTTTCTTGTATAGAAAAGATGTTGCTGTGTGGGATGCCTGGCTATTTTTTCAGGCTCAATTGATTGGGTCAACTATTTTGATTCACAGGCTGGGGTGCGTTTAGAGTTGCCGGTGTCAGCGCCGTGCCAGCGCCATAGCAGCGCCCACGTGGATGCGCACATATTGATCGATCGACAGCGCTGACCCGGCGTTGGCACGGGCGACTTTAAATGTAGCAATTGTTGACCATCAGCCAAGCCTCCCACTCGCTTCGCTTGTTTCTGGACCACTTGTCAACATATATTCTCAGTTCAAGCCATTCCTTGCGTGCATACTTTCTTCTTGGCGTTTTGCCAAAACTATCGCAGTTGCGCCAACTTACAGAAAGCGCCAGAAAATTCGCCTTCAGTACGTGTAGCCCGACAGCGTACCCTGATTAGTTTTAGATTTCGTGATAAATTCTGCCGCCTTTGTTGATCTTTCCACTGCTTCTCTCGTTTCCTTCGAACATAATGTCATTCATTCGTCATGTTGTCTCATTAGCATATATCTGCCGTGTACATGTGTATTGATCGATTGGCCACGACACGAAAACTCGTCCCCGCTTTACTACACGCTTGTTCTGTATAAATTCATTAGCGCACACAAGCTGGCGGGTGTTGTTTACCGTGCCGTGTGGCTGTGCGATCCTGCAGACAATGCCTAAGTTCTCTCTGTGACGTAATAAAGTACCTTTTATTTGTTGTAAAGTGTTGTTCTAACAATTTTTAGCCTCCTTGTTTTTATCGCGTTAATCTATTCTAATAAAAAGTTGTTTTTGAGTTATACATGACACATATGGTACGTATACCAGTTATAATTGTACATGGAGCCAGCAAATATTGCTGGAAAACCTGCTGTGTTGGAGAAGAATTTCGAGAAATTCGCTTACAGACGCATTTTAATAAGACTTTTAATCATGATTTTTAACACATTGACGACCGCTTGACACACATGGTGTGTCAAGGTTTGACACACCATGACTTTTATTGAAATGGCTGCTAAAATGTGTCAAATCAACTCCGGGAGTTTTCTTTCATGCTGGATTTAGATGCAACCTCTACTGTTTTTGCCAGCATTTCAGCGCTACTGTAGGTGTACTGTAGATGGAATTGTGCGTGATTTTATTTAAGGAATGTTGACTGGTCCGAGAAAGGCTTCGGTCGTCAATGTGTTAATCAAAGATTCTCTACTTACATTTTTTTCATTCTCCACTTTTTACCATCAAGAGAGAACAGCTCTAAAGTTGCAAAAAATCGAAGTAGAAATAGGTATCTACCTATACTGTACATCGTGGGGCGAAGCAAATTTCACTTCAAAAAACTGCACACAAAGTTTTTTCTTCGGATAAGTATAACTGTCAATGAGATTTACTTCGACTAGCAATATATTGCACATCTGTAACTAGATGAGCTTATGCAGTGAAGTTATAAAGCAGTGTTTGCTGTCTTTTGAATTTCTTTTTGACGTGATCTCTTTTTGACGCTCTCCATTTTGTTTGTGAACGCCGTGCGTGACAATGCGCTATTCATGAAAGGGTTACCGTTAGCGGAAGTAAGGTATTTCATCTTTGATGCATCTGGAGCAACCTTATAGCCGTCGATCTTCTAGAAACCAGGACTGACACCCGCTGCGCTCTTCCTCTTCTCAAGGAACTGCAGTACATCTCCTTCTAAGATTCGTCTTCACACTGGCAAAAGTTGCAAATGTTGATAATTCGATGAAAGAAATCACATTTGTCCGACGTTTACCATTTTGATGTACAATACCGCTCACAATTAGTCAAAAAAGTCGTCTCACTTCACCGGAGATCACCGACATCAGCGTTGCATCGCCATATCTTGGTTCAAAGTGGTGGACACCGGAACCCAGAATCGTTCGACTCAGCTTGTTGAGGCGTATTACGACAGTTGGTTAGAATTCGGGAACCTTTCTGGATTTTTTCTCACGCGTTTCCTAATGTGCAGCATATCTGATTGCACACCGAGAAACCTGTCGTGGACGAAAATCCAAAAAGAATCGTGGTCTGGTCGCCTATTGTATCCGAATGAACACTTCTATACGTCAGAAGATGCGTCTCATCGAGCCGGGTCCACCGGTGCTCTTGGATTTTTAAATTCGTCCATCGTGAAGCAAGATATGGCGATGCGACGCGGATGTCGGTGAACTCCGGTGCAGTGCGGCGACTTTTTCTGCTAATTGTTATTGTAGTTGTGTAGCAGTTCTTTTCTCCAAGACAGTCAATGCAAAGTTGGCGACAACAATTGGCGGTCTGCTGGTTTGTACTAGTATAAGTGGTGGAGGGATGGAGTGGGAGAAAGAAATTTTTTTCTAATGCCCTCCTGGTAATTTTTTAGGAGATTTTTCGAAATTTCTACGGATCCATTGCCCTGAAATCACAAGAGAAGAGGGCCTGGCGGCGGCAGCTTACAAACTTGTTGTTGAAGGCTGATTTGAAATTTTAAAAAGTTCCAGAATTTTTTTTTCAGAATTACTTGGTAAAAATAACACTTGTGCAGTATTATAATTTTTGTAGGGTAGGTTACGAACCTAGTGACCCATTCTCGTGGGGTAGGGTGAAGGCGTGGGTATGCCACTGGAAGGCATACTCGAAAGTAAATAAAGCATTACCTGCTTTGAAATTTTGTGATACCAACTAGAGGGTGGAAGCACATTTTATTGACATTTTTTTGGACGGCTGTCCCTGAAGCGATTTTTTTACACAGATCCCTTGTTTACATAGAAGAGAAAATTTACCTACGTCAGAAAACAAATTACTTGTCATACTCCTTGATTTTTATGACTTTTTTCATAGTTTCATAATATTAGGTTGAACCGAAAGTTCTGTCGCACCATTTTCAAAAAATCGTAACTTCTTTCCCTCGCAACTATTTTGAGCAATTCAAATTTTGTCTGAAAGCGCAAAGCATGTAGTTTCCAAATGCTTCCTGTAGGCTTTCCAATATGCTGAGATTGCAGAGACAAAAATGAAAGAACGAGATCATTCGAGATTCGGAATTTTTAAGCAAAAATTCTAAAAATCTAGAAACTATGCGATAAAATCCAAAACAGCCATCATTCTAGGTCTTCTTATATTTTATTACTAACTGAGTTAAGTTTGTATTGATCGAGCTCTTTTTTCAAAAGTTATGATTTTTTGAAAAAAAGGCCAAAAAATCAGTTTCCTAAGAATTCTTAAGAAATCAATTTTTTCGGATGATCTCGCTCCTTCATTTTTATCTCTGCAGTCTGAGCATGTTGGAAAGACTCCAGGGAACTTTTGGAAACTACATGCCTTGCGCTTTCAGACAAAATTTGAATTGCTCAAAATAGTTGCGAGGGAAAGAAGTTACGATTTTTTGAAAATGGTGCGACAGAACTTTCGGTTCAACCTAATAGATACCAAGACAAGGTGGGTGAGCAGATTATTCCTCATCACTTCCCTTCTTTGGTCCGCCCTTGGTACTGAAGATCGAGTGCTAAAGAGCTTGAAAATTATGTTGTTTATTTAATACCATTGACACCACAGTAACTGTGAAACGAACGTCTGTAATAACTTCATAAAAACCCGAATTGAGCAAAGGACGAAAGTGATGTGTAAGAAAAACTCTGATTTATCAGAAAAGATCAAAACACGACTACAAATGATGTCCAACGCGCTCCGGATGACTGTGACAAGTGCTGGCGGACTTCTTAAACAGTCACCATGCTCAGCAGCACGTGTATTCACTACGGCTACGCAGGCTGTACCAGTGCAAATGGTAAGTCTGTTTCAATACGGGAAATTCTTTTGTTCAAGGGTTTCTTGGTGAACTGGTCCTTGTTCACCTATGTGGTCATATCTTAGCCGAAGAAGCAACTGTTGTCTAGTTGATTTGGCGCCTAGTCTGGTTTTCTTACATCGACATATGCGCGTAAAAATGGCGATGGAGTGTAGAACTTGCGAATTGCACTCATATTTTCCGCGCATCAGTGTTATCTTCACAGCAGTGACAATACAACAATCGTTAGTTTTGTTTGCTAGGCTAACAAGAAATTGACATTCACTAACTAACATTTACGATCAAACCGTGATTGAGCTTTCTCCTCCAGGATCGACTACCCCCGCCTGAACCAGGTATATGCTGTGGACAGGGTTGTGCGAACTGTGTGTGGTTGGTGTACGCTAATGAACTCATCGATTATTATCGTAAGCAATATTAATTATTAGTTATAGGGCATTTGAAAAATCGTGACGATGGCACGATCGCGCGCTACACGCACGCCACTTCCAGAAATCGCATTTTCTTGCTTTTCATCTCTAGTCGAATGGTTATTTGCTTACGTATGATACTATTTAGACACTGAAAGTGACTGAGCTGAACATTGAGGTGACACCTTCTTGTATGAGCGTTTTATGCTCCTGTGGGCGCAAAGTCCGCAGTAAATTCCGTCGTCACGATTTTATAAATGAACTATATCTTGCCTTAATTCATTTTGCGCAAGAACTGGTCCCCTAAAATGATGACATACTTCTTGCATTATCTATAATACATTCTGGAGTATATTAGTCCCAAACATATCGATTACAAATGGGAAATCGATGCTCGATTACAAATGGGAAATCGATGCTTTGGACTACATTGTGACGTTGGGGGACTAGTTCTCGCATCTTGTTCTAAACAGTGAGCACTGTCTTTCGCCTTCGTACATCTGACTTCATGAATGATGCCAAGCTACCGCATCATTTTTTGCTGGGACCAGTTCTCGCTCGATATGTAATATTTTTATCACGAAAAAAAAAACAGGTTGCGGATTCAGATGGTGAAGATTTCCACAAAGTAGCAAAGGAGATTGAGAAGAAAGTATCCGATATCAATGTCCGAGCATACGTTCTTAGCGAACTCCGAATAAAATGGAAGAAAGCTCATTGATAGCTCAACGATAAGCATCGGGTTACCTGGCCTCGTCTCTACTGTGATATGTTTTAGTCACGCTAACAACTTGTTTATTATAGTTGTATTTTATAAAATGAGAACGAGTAGTGAGTGAAAAATAGAGTGCTATTTTTCTTAATCTCTTATGTAAACTACCTCAACTGTGCTGTTGAACTTGAACTAATTCTGCCTCCAACTGTCATGCCAGGAATATTGAAGTTTGTATCTCAGGCTCTCTCGTTGTGCTATCTGTCTATAATCTCTGTTTATGAAGTAGAAAGTCTGTAAATATGTGCTGTAGTTCTATGTTGCTTAAGTGAGCTGTACATTCGTTATAAGCTCCTTTGAGCTTTGGGCCGAATGAGTTGAAATTGCTGACGCAAAGGTTTTCAACCCGGGTAATGCTATAGACTACTAAGTGAGCCGATTCGCTGGACCTTCTATTGATCTTATTGACTTGTCACTATATAATGAAAGTTATATTAGCCGCTAACAAGTCATATCTATGGTTTTATCTGTACACAGCAGTAGAACTCATTTCATTTTGAAGTCGCAAGGTAGCGGGAATTTAAGAACCATGTAGTGATACGGTGTTCGAAAACAGCATATCGTTTATTCGTTGACCGTAACGACTGCTGACCGCGCGGCGACCGCTGCGCGTGCATGATGTTTTCGTAGAAAAGATGAATAGAAAGAAAACAGAGGATTCTTCTCATCCTTATTATGTAGAAAAGAAACAAAGAATTCTTCTCATCTTAAGCTACGGTGCAACTTGTCACTTTTTCGCAAGTTTAGAAGGCACGCGTCGCAGTCGCCACGCGGTCGGCAGTCCGTACGGTCAACGAATGAACGATACATTCCCGTGTTCGACCAATTTTTTAGAGATCGACGAAATTCTAAGGTTTAGAGAACTGAAATCATGTTTTGCTCTCGCTCTCGAACCCTCAGTAGACAATGTCATGATTACATGCTCAAAATGTTACAACCTATTATTTGTGATATAGCAAATGATGAAGAGTGGAAACAATCGAAAAAAAGGCAAAACTTTGATTTCTGAGACTTCCCATATAATGCCTACAAAAAGCCATCTCGTCTTGGGGTATGCCAAGCAGCATTAAAAAAACAGTATCTATGTACGTCAAGTAACACTAAAAAGCAGAATCTTGTGATTTCTTAATAGAATTGCTGAAATTAACGAAGTTTAGTCTGCCGAAGTTTAGCATCAAATACTAATAAAGTCAGCGGGACTTGGGATTTTCTTCCATTTTTTACACTCTTGGGTCTTTTTCTCGTCTCGTTTTTCGCCATTTTCGCGCTCTACAGTGTGCATTTTCGGATTCAGCGTAGCAAATAGACCCAAGTAAGCACAAAATCTCAAAATCGAGTTTTTGCCCGGACACTGCCTTCAAAGGAGTATCCGCACATGGGCGTACGGAAGGATCAGGGCCCGGCACAGATCGTCTGGAAGCAGGCTGGACTTCGTTTTTGGAGCAAAACGCAAAGGAGATATCGTTTTTGACCAATCGAGGCCGAGCACCAAGAATAAGCGCCGTTTAGTCCAATACAAGCTTTTCGGAGAGGTTATCACACGATTGACATGCTCTATCGTGTATGGCGAAAAGTGCGCGCGATTTGAAAGCAAGGCTAAAATAGAAAAAATGCTTGTTTACAGCGTACACAGAATCATATGACACAAAAATTGGACTGTATGTATAGAAAATTATTTGTGAATGGATTATGTAAAAAGGTTTGAAAACTTATGTAAAGTATTACCTTTTCCAAAATTAGATCGTCTCCAGACGGCCACCAGACGATCTAAGATCGACTGAAGCATATATTTTCGTCACTTCACATAAGTTTCGGATCTTTTTAGCATGGACGGATTCCCCAGTCAAAAATCTGTCCCTGAACATGAAGACATTTTCATATCATTCGCGCTGCAATGCCAAAGTCTTGTGCATGCGTAGTAATCAGCTCCAATTTGGATTTTCACTGTTATCTCATGCTTTTTCTTTTAGACTAGTAAGTCTTTTTTGTTTTCATCTTCTCCTAAGTAGGTAGGTCAAAGGGAACTTCGTATAACATCCGAAAGTCTAGGGGACTTCGTTTTCCGAAACCCTAGAAACCGACATGTGCCGGGCCCTGGGAAGGATGCGGCAAAGTCAGGATCATCACGGATCAGATTTTATCCTTTCTAAGGCTACATTAGAGCCGACACATACAGTTTATGTCAATCAGTGCTCACTTTCGTGTAGGGACTACGCATCCGCAACGCGAAAGCCTTGGCATGCGGACCTCCCATCGATGAAGCCAGTTTGAATGCGTGGCGCGAAGCTCCGCGGTGGCGACTGTGCTGGTGGAGAGGGGTCGTGATTGACATAGAGTTTATGTTCATCTCGGAGGCCTACTTAGACTACATAGTAATCTGTAGAAATCTGAAAAACATAATTTTGGTGGATACTGCCTCCAAAGACCCAGCTGTTCTACAGAAAATATGAATATCAGGCTTATTGAGCGTCATTCTGAATTTGCAGCTCATCAGATGTCAACTTTTGCAATTTTCTACTGAATGATGCGAGTCAGTTTAGAAGTCAGTTTAGAGTGCAGCAGGCGATATTTGTGAGCAGTGGGTTGAGTTATCTCGTACGTGAATCCCTTTCTTTGTTCTTGTTAAATGTCGCTAAAACTTGCCCTTATATACCCAAACATGATCAGTACAGAGAAGATGTATTTATTTATTTATTTATTTTGTACGCCAGGAGGCGTGCTTCAATACAACAAAACCAGATCAGGGCAGGGTGTAAAACGACAAACCAATGGAAAAAAAAAGAGAAACAACAAAGGAACAATCATACTGTAATGAATAAGTCATCCAGATCTAATTCAACCTACTTTGCACTCTATGGAGGAAAGAGAAACATAAAACAATTGACAACCTCATTTATAGGTACTGCAGGGCACTGAACATGGCAGATGTACTGCTCTGTGGCCGCCATGCTCTAAGCTCATCTTAGGAATTTCTTCAAGATCACAGAGTAAGCTCACCCCACTTGTGTCTTATGGTAAACTTTTCCCTACGATGTATGTTGCGGAAATCAAGCTTCATTCGAACTTCAAGGGACAATAGCACTTGCCAAAAACTTATGTCACGACATCTCGACTGATGCTACGACGTTGTTGAGCAGTTTCTAGAGAGAAGGTGAATTGAGTGTCCGGGAACTTTGGTTGAGCCTTGTTTCCACCATTGCAAGCACCTGCGTAGAAGCGGAAGCATGGCGAAATACGTTCCGCAAACGATGATTCGAAATTTATAGCTGGAGGTTTATGGCACGAAACATTTCGGCTACAGATAATAAGTAATCCCTCTATATTACAACTACAGAAAGCGGCATTGATTTAGGAAGCAACATACCATAGGCGCCTACCTGTGAAATGATTCCCCTAGATAAGAAGGCGCACCCTCATTCAGTTGCAGATGAGAAAAACGTTTAAAGAGCCTAATTGAGGTATCTGATTCACCCTATAACTCCAGTCGCGCACCTAACGACTATCATCTTTCGCTCCCTGCAAAATTTACCTCAAGGAAAACAGCGTGAGTAGAGGTGCTTGGAATCCACCTCATTCATTATTTTCTAATGGTCAACACAAAGTACGCAAGAGCTATGGACCAACTGGGAAGCGCAACTTGGAGGAAAGCTTGATAACCTGAAACTCTAGAACGGTGTCCAACCATACAAATTTACTGTTTGTAAACCTGCCGAACGAAATGTACTACATCGAAAGCCGCATCAATTTCTTGTAAGCCATGCCCAGCGCCACCCTTCTTTCTCTGAAGTTATCTCCTTTTTCAAATTTAGTATAACATCATCATACTGGTTGTCTAATGCAGCGTTGCTAAGCATGTTTCGGATAAGAACAACTGAGTTAATGAAGTGATGTATATCACGAAGAACTAGTTGGAAGTAATATCAAAACCTCACTGTTTTAGCACTCATTTCTTCTTACCAAAAACTCATCACTGTTGGGTCAGAATCCAGCACTCTTGTGAAGTTACAATAACTTCATAGATGGGAAAATGACCCTGAAGAATACATGTTTGGCTAGAACCCTTCGGGGGTTTATGCAAGAGAATGGAAAATGCAGCTTATGTCACCTCATGCAATTTTATGTGCCTATTTAAAGGTTAAATTAAACAGCTGAAGTTCAAATTTTTAGAGCTTCAAAATGTAGAGCTTTCGTTCATGTCATTCAGGTTGCACCGCGTCCCCGATGGGGATTTTCATGCATGCATCATAAAACGCCCCAATCCACAAGTGACTCGCACACATTAGAAACATCCCGCAAAACAAAAGAATTTATTCCACTGAAACGGTGGAAAAGATAGGAAGCTCAATGGCTTCTTCTCCAATCCGGAATTGCTATACACTTCAGCACTCGTTAAACTCAGCAGTAAGTTTTGCGCTTTTTCCGTGCGTCCTTTCTTCCGCTTTGAGTTTATCGTAACATCTATCCATCTATCCTCATGCACTAGAAGACGACTTAGCAGCTATCACGTAGTATTAATGCGAACCCTAACCTCAATCATTAGATCCGTGGAGGACTTGGAGGAGATGACGTAAGAAGGCTTAGCGTATGCAGATACCAAAATCACAAACGGCAACAACTTGTAAAAGAGCATGCTGTTCGCGAACAAATCTGCAATTCAATTGACATTCGAACAGAATGGCTAATCGTAATTTCAGGTGATCGAAACCTTCGTTAATTGCAGAATATCTTGAAACAAAAGCAGATTTATGCACCCTAGACGATCTTGTTGAGTGATCTTCTTTTGATCATTTGTATAAATATCTATCAGATTAATGTAGGTATCAGGTTACTATCTTGTTTGGATAGTAGATGGACGCAAAATTAATGCATGTATCCATGCTAGTGGTAGTTTGAATAGAAAATGTAAGAGTTTTTTTGCCTTCATCTTCAGACAGTTCCCTGTATAGGGGGAAAGACGAAACAGGATCTCATTTAGTCGATAAGCGAAGCAAGGTCTACAAGATGACATTGCATCTTGCAAAATGCCGATCCATCTGAAGTTTGAAGCCAAAATTTAACAAGTTCCGAACATCCAAAACGCGGATTTTCGTTCGCAAGGTACCGGAGTTCAAACTTGCTCACGTATA